GGTTGAAACAGGGAGGTGGCTTAAAAGTGCCATCACTGGCCAGGGAGGTCACTGCTTGGCTCTGCTGGGTTTCAGGACGATGGATGGCTCTGCCCGACTTCCCTGATTACAACAAATGGGGCTTCTCCCTGGTGGCTCTGAACAACGATGTGTACGTCACAGGTGGGTGCCAGGGCTGCTGGTGCAGGGTGGGAGTCTCCGAGGAGCAGGGATGGAGGATGGGTGACAAAGATGTGAGCACCAGGCGCTGGGATGAGGCCAAGGGCTCCCCTCTGAGCAAGGTCCTTTCCTTACTCCCCACTCGGGCAAATCCAGCCACTGGCAAGGGACGCTGCACTTGGGGAAGGTGACCTGCCCGACCTGTCTGTCCCCAGGTGGCTCCCGTGGGTCTCAGAATGACACATGGTCAACAGCCCAGGCCTGGTGCTTTTGCCCCAGGGATGGCTCCTGGAAGCCGATCGCTTCCATGCTGAGAGCCCGGACAAACCACACCAGCGCCGTCCTCAACGGCGAGATCTACGTCATTGGGGGTAAGGCTGCAGAGCCCCTGTGGGAGCCGCTGGGCGGGGGCTCCGCAGGGCGGCTGCAGTGTCCCATGCCCAGCAGGGACGACAGTGGACGCGGTGGAGGTGGAGCGCTATGACCCCTACAACAAGAGCTGGTGTGCCATCAGCCCAGCCCTCAAGTATGTGAGCAATTTCGCAGCCACCAGCTGCTTGGGCAAGCTCTACCTGGTGGGCTCCTGTGCCGTCAAGTACAACGCGCTGACCCTGCAGTGCTACAACCCTGTCCAAGGTGAGAGCTGACCCGATGCTGTCCCGGGAGAGGGACTGAGGGGCACCCCCAGGCAGGTGACCCCTGTGCTGCCAGGCATGGTCCTGTGGGATGCAGTGAGGTGCTGCTGGGTGCAGTGGGGGCTGTGGCTCAACGCGCGCCAAGCACAGCCCCAAGCCACAGCCATCCGACACGGCCCTGAGCTGAGCTTCAGTACAGCAGGACCTCTGGGGCATAGGGGTGGGGCAAGCTGCTGCCTTAGGGATAAACTAACTCCCTGTCACAATGCCACCTCCTTGGGTAGCCTCTCCCGTCCCACAGCACCACTACAAATCAAGCCCCCCATCCCCACTAGTTTTTATGCGAGACCCTCGCCTGGGATGGGGACTGCTGTCTGCCCGGCTGCTCTGCCTCCTCCCTTACAAATTCCTCCTGAAATAGCTGTGGGCTCAGCAATGTTTTTTTCAGTCACTGGCAGCTGCTTCGAAGGCCAGGAGCGCTGCTAATGACTGCTGTTGCAGATTTGTGGAGTGTGATCACATCCCCCTTCATCCCCAAGTACCTGTCGGCCCCACGCTGTGCCACCCTGCGCGGGCTCATCTACCTCATTGGGGACAACACCAAGAAGGTCTACATGTACAACCCGGAGGCTAACATCTGGCAGAAGGTAGTGAGATGTGAGGCTGGGCACACTTGCTCCTAGGAAGGTGGTGAAGGTGTTCCCACCCGCTCCCCCCGATGCCAGCACCCCTTCTCCCTCCTGCTCACCTGCACTGGGCATGGGGGGGCTCCCAAACCTCACAGAGATGACAGGGCACGGGGACACATCTGGCAGGGTGATGTCCTCTGTGGAGGGACTGGGAGGTCCCCAAGGGGTCCCCACACATCTTACCCTGCTCCTCAGGTGCAGCTTCTGCACACGCTGCATGAGAACGGTGGGATGGTGGCACTGGGAGACCGGCTCTTCGTCACTGGTGGCCACTGGAAGGGCATGGATGGGGACTACAGAGTGGAAATGGAGGTGTATGACTGCACCAAGGACCTCTGGATGCGGGAGGGCTCCCTGCCGTGCCTCTGGCTCTTCCACAGCTCCTCCTCGATCTTCATGGACACCTCCAAGTGGACAGAGGCTTTCCAGGGTGACCACCGGTGGTAGGAGAGCTGCAGCATTGCCTGCTGTCCTCTCCTTGTGCCTGTTCAGCTCTGTGGGAGGGATGGACACTCCTCTGCCAGGCTGGCAGGGGCAGCAGGATGGTCCTCCCTGCCACCACACGGAAAAGGCTTTTCCTTATAAACACGCTCTGGCTAATGCTCTCTTCTTTTGGTTTGTGGGTTTGTTTTTTTTAAAACTGCCTCTCCCCACCTCCAAACCCCTAAAGCTTTTAGGGTGTTTCAAGGCCTCCCGAAGTGTGGCCCATCCCACCAGATCCTGATGTTGCTGCTTGGGGGCCGTGGACCTTTTCCCCATCCCACTGACATCCAGAATGGGCAATCCCAGGTGGGGCCAGGGCAGTCTCTTCCCAAAGCTCTCCAGCCTCTCAGTGGCTCAGATTGCAGTGTCAGACCCACCCCCGTGCCACAGGAGATAAGCCAGACTTAGGGTGCTTGGTGTCCTCCGGTGGCCCAGCAGCCCGAGGCAGGGTGCACAGTCCTGGTTTCTGCCCCACGACATGCAGCCCGTGCCCCGGGGAAGAGCCCCGCAGTCCTGGAGCAGTGCCCGGTGCTCCCGTCCCAGAGGCGCAGGACTGGGCGAGCACGGGGCCGGACCGCGGGGCACTTCGGCCTTGCCAAGCGCTGAACGCAGCTCTGGACAAACACTGGGGTGAAACTCCAACCGCAAGCAGACCGCAGGTACACTGCCGCTCCTCCTCAGCTGCAGGCAGCCTCACTCACAGCCCAGCTTCAGAGCCTCGATTTCCTTCCCAGCATGAAGAGGACAGGCCACACCATGTCCCAGGCCAGTGGCCTGGAGTACCACACTGTCTGTACCGCAGAGCCTGACCAGGAGCTCCTCCCAATCCCTAAGAATTCAGGACTCTCCCAGAGCCTGTACAAAGCTCAAGGAAACAGACAGCAGAGCTGCCTTGCTTGGAACAGCTGACACAGCTCGTGCCCCCAGATGCCTGCTCTTCTAGCACCCCTGCCAAGTGGATTTACTGTGATTGCCAAGGCATTCACAGAGGGTTGACAGGACAGATGTCTGCATACGCTGATCCATGTTGGCAGCCACTTAGCAAACCCTGTTAGCTAAGCGAGCTAAAACTATTTAAAAAAACCAACTTTATTTACACTGAAGAGCATCCAGAAGGACCCTCCTCCCCCCTCAGCCACACATGCACTCAGTCTCCTCCCTCTCCTTACACCCACCACAAGCTGCAGCTGCTGTGCTCATCCCTCAGTGCTCCACCCGGACCAGCATGACGGTGACATTGTCTGCCGACCCTCGCTGCACTGCCTTGCTGGCCAGTCTGTTACAGGCAGCTTCGTACCGAGCATCTGCCTCAAGCTTCCCTTCCCTCGTCTGGATGTTCTTATCCTGTTGGGACCGGGAAAGATGCTGCTGATCGCTGCCAGCAAAGGTAGGCACGAGTGCATTATATTTTCCAAGCGAGGGGAAGCAAAACGAACACAGCCAGCCTCGAGAATAAGGGAGGACACCCTGGCAGAAGTCCATTTCATGCCCTCTGCACTGACAAACCCAGCCCTCCCCACTGACTCCTCCTCACCTCCAGGCAGGACACAATGAAGTTCACAGCTTCTTCTGGTGTGAAGACTTTGAAGAGGCCATCACACGCTATCAGAATGAACCTGGAAATCAAGTGGAGACAGGTTCCAAGGCTGAATCTCTGGCTACCCAGCTACAGCAAAATCCCTCCAGTCTATTTCATGAGCATCCATGCTCCAATCCAAAGGGAAGATGCCATAAAGCTCAACTGAAAATTCCTCAGAAGCACCAGAAGTCCTATGGTGCTCCAGAACCTACCATTCATGGAGCTGAGGCATTCCAAAATACAGGCCAAAGAGCCAACCAATTAATGTAAGATCTAGACTAGGACATCCTGGCAGCCCTACCAACACTGGCAAAATCATATAAAACACCCTGCTGGAAAGCTCCATTGTCTCTCTAAGTACTGCTTCTTTCCTTTGAGTCCTTTTCATTCACTATAATCCTTGTGAAGTGGCTAATGCAAGGAAATACAGAAATACAGTTAGCTTAATCCCTCGTGTGCATTGCTTTAAACCCTTTACATTTCTGTGCTCCTGAGGTATGTTGTAATTTAAAGACAAAAAATTCCAAAGAAAAGTGAGCAGCACAACTGTGACTGGAAAACTGTGACACAAGGTACTGCCAGACACTGCAGCAGGCCAAGGGGATACAAAGCCCAATGCAAGGACAGCATCCCTCCCAGCAAGGGGGAGGACAGAGCCTGCTGTGCACTCCCTGCCTGCACAGGGAACTGCACTAACCAGGAGCCGTACCCAGAGCCACCGGACAAGGAAAACCAAAATCAATCCACAGAGGTGGCCAGGCTGCACGTGGCTCTGAAGACATCATTTCAGAGCCTGATACTCCAAGCATCTTCAGAAATACTTTAGTGCATCACTTGATATGCAACTCCAGTCCCAGAAAAAGCAGCAGTACTGGGTTACACTCTCACCTTCAAGAGCCTGCAGGGCCACACTGACATGAAAGCTCGTTGCAATTTGTCGTTGCCAATCATATAATGGAAAAGTATCTCAAATCTTCAGACATCAGAGGATATTTGTAGGCACTACAGCTGCTAGAAACAACTCCTGGACAGGATGGAGGCCCAAGAACTCAAGCCTTAACCAACTGCTTGAACACTGGTGTGTGAACAAATTCAGAGCACAAAGAACATCTACGGGTCATGTGTGCTATTGCTGTGAGGCTGGTTCCTCCAAACAGGAGCCTTCACAGTATCTTGGCAGAGCAGCAGCAACACGGAACAGGAGTGGAGTCACCAGCAGTCAGAGCACTCCCCAGTTCTGGGATATCAGTCCTGAAGTGCCTCAGCCCTAACAGCAAGCAGAGTTGTGCAGCTTGTGCTACTTGTGCTGAGCAGAGCTGGGACACAGCAACCCCAGTGCATGGGCTTTACCTGTCGTTGTGTGTAAGTTGGCAGCGTTTGATATCTGGCACAGAGATAACACCACAGCGTTTGTACTGGCCATCCCCAATGGAGCGGGAAACCTCCAGCACTCCTAGGACTCTTCCATCCCTGCACAGGGAAAGAAAACACTGAGAACCCTCCCCACATATGTCTCCCACTGCACTGCTTGATGGGGACACTTCACAGAGTGCTCAGCTGCCTCGTACAATACTGACCCTCTTCCCCAGCAAGTTCGTATCTTCCTTTCAAAGTCTCCTTCCCTTTCTGCATGTTTGTGTAAAGCTTTGGGAAACAAGTGGTGAGGAGGAAATCAAGTCAGGAGAATTCAAGGCTGTTTTCTGTCTCCCTGCCCTAACTCAAGTCCTGCTTGGCCTAGCAAGCCAGGGAAGTAAGAGTTGTATGGGAGCTGAACTACCAGAGGCAAAGGTTTGAATACAGAGATTAATTTTTGGCAAGGTATCTAGCAAACTGCACTTCACTAGAAGCAGAGAGTGGCAGAGCAAGAGCAGTTCTGAGCCAGCAGCCCCTCCTGTGCCCTGCTGATCAGGACACCAACCCCTACAGACTGGCTCAGCTGCAGGCAACTCCCAGGAGCAAGAACCACAGCATGTTCTCCTGATCACTCAGCCCTTACCAACCAGAAATCACAGCAACCAGTTCTGTGAAACCCAAGTCACAATCCTCTTTAGGAAGCAGCTCTGGTTTGCTAAATTTCTTACTAACCAAGTTCTCCATAAAAACATCTTCCCATACTCCACCTTTCCAACAATCTTCCCCCTAGAAAGGCTCTTCTGTGCCCTCTGGGAACACACAAGCTCATTCATCTCATAGTCCAACCAGCCCCACTTGAGATAAAAGCAAACAGTGAGGCACATCACAGAGAAGAGATCTGATGCTCACACACTTTGTGACTTATCTCTTGGGCCCAAAATACTGAACTACAAGCAGTGGGAGAGGCTCCTGAGCAGGCAGGGAGCAGTTTTGAAAAGAGCTAACAAGACACTGGGCCATCTCTCTGCTGTGTGCAAAGATAAATCAGTGTTAAGCACAAGCAGCAGTGTGTGCTCTCCAGAGATAAGGGGAACAAGACACTCCAGATACAGGAGCATGATGGAACTGAGCCCACCCCTTACCACCCCCCACAGGGCATTCTGCATCCGCAGGCATGAAGATGCACCAAATCCTCTCTTATAAGGATGCCATTAACTCAAGAAACAGCCTTCAAAGAAGGGAGAGAAGCTAGCCAGGGAAATCAGACACAGCTCCTGTGTTTGACACCAGCTCCCCCAACAGCCATGAACTCCTATTTGCACAAGAACATTAAGGTAATCCCATTCTGGCTCCAGAAATCTCCCTCCTGCTGCAGACTGCCTCAGTGCAACAGCTAACCCCAAGGAAGCAACACCAACCGACATCAAGGACTTCTCATGCCCTCTTAAACCATCCCCCCCGGGACGAGGAGAGGTGATGCTGCAGGCAAGGAAGTGAGCTCTGTTCACTGTCGCAGTGTGCAGAAAGCAGGAACTTCTTCAACAATCCCGTCCAGCTCTGTAGGTCCAAGTCTGTAGGTGAAGCTTAAGCATGTCCACACTGGCATCCCACTGCTAGGCTTTCACACGGGTCCTGTGTTGGCCACTGCAAGCCCCTGGGAAACCAGTCCCACAAACCAACTCCAGCCACTGATTCCTCACACACCTCAGCACCATGGTGCCTCGTACAGGCAGCAACAGATTTTCTCCAGGCTCTCACCAGCATGCACACTGGGCTCAGGAAACTCCAAAAACTCAGTGCTCAGACCCAAAGTTAGGCCAGGGTTTAGATGTGCTCACTCACAGCCTGCAGGCACTTACCTGACATTGCCCCCAGCTTTCTGTATCCGCATACGCTCCTCATATTGGGTGGGGTTGTGCTCCTTACTGAGGCTTAAGGCTGCATATTTCTGACTCTCCTCGTTGTAACGGCACAAAATCGCCTGTGCTGACAAAAGACCCTCATGAGTAAATAAAACACAGTGGCAGCAACA